TTTACATCACGAGGAAAATTAATTCTATCAAGTATTTGTAAGAGGAAAAATTCTTTTCGACTGGCCTATGTAAAGTAAATAAAAATTTCCTCTCTTTTCTTTTCTTATGTGAGTGCAAAACAGTCACACCCATAGCTTTTTCAGCACAACAAAAGACAAAATAAAAACTTATTTCTTACTTGTATGTTAAGGTTTCGAATGGTGACTGCGGATTGGACGGTGCGGAACAAGCATGCGGTGCGGTTCAACGGCGGTGTGTTTCGGTGATACGCATGTTGCGGAATGAAAGTTGTTGGTGTGGAACAAACGGTGCGGGACAATATTTGAATGGCAACAATTACAAATATAGTGTGGATGTAATAGTTTTTAAACTTTGACTAATTATTTTTAACACTACAAACTGATAATATTTATATGTATATAATTTTTTGATTTATTAGAAATTAAAAAAAAAAGTTAATAAAGGAATGCACTTGATAAATTTGGAGAAAACATTAGAAATAGAATAGTTTTTGTCAACTTTATTGATTAGGCATAGGTTTATTTATACAAGTTAATAACTTGTCTAACAAATTCTTTACATATATGAAATAAGAAATTTACCTTATACACAAATATTAACTTTCCTAATAACTATTAGAAAATATATTGGAACGATCTTTTATAATCCCTGAGATCTTGTATAATCCACCTTGTTAACCGCATGTACTTGAACATATTGGAACGCATGATGTGGTTTGTCCAAAAGTGTAACTTTTCTTTTTTTAATTTGTTTTATTATACCAAAACGCACAAACTATTTGCATGAACTATTTAGTCCCACATTAATAACTGCTTATGTGAATGGTAACATTATTTATTCCCACACTAATAACGGAACCAAACCATGCCAAACATTTACTGCATAAGAGTGCAAATGGTGGTTGAATCTGGCTAAATTGTAGAATTTGATTTAATTTTTGGTGATTTTTTTGTAGAATCTAGGAGAAAAACTATAAATTCAAATGGTAACAGCTGAATGTTGCAGAATCTGGTAGAATTGGGTTTTATGAAATAATTTTATAAATAATTAATAAAATTGTAATAAAATTATTTAAAATACTTATTATGAAATAAGATATTATAAAACAAACTTTTAATTTACAAAAAATAGAAAAGAATTATATATATTTTGGATAAATAAAAATACTAAGGAATTATTTTTAAATATATAAAAAGTTGTGTAGAAAAAAATCATTCTCCTAATTTTGAATTTAAATGATGTTCTTATAATTACCACCAAAATTAATAAAGATATTACAAAAATTGATTTATAATTATTTATTTTGGAAATTAAAATTAAAATTAAAACTAAAAGAACGAAACGTTAAGAATATTAGTAATGCAATCTTTTTGAAACTCAAGTAATTTCAAATTTACTCAGTGAGAAGAAGAACAAAAAGACATCCAGCGTTGTTC